AGGCCAAAGAGGATACATTCATGCTAAAGTGAGGGAAGATTAGATAGAAGAGATCTTTTTTAATGGAAATTAAAAAAAATTGTATACAATTTTAAAGGTTACTTTTTCTTACAGTTATTACAAAGTATTGGCTATATTCCTTGTGTTGTACAGTACACCTTTGAGCCTATCTCACACCCAAAAGTTTGTGCCTCTCTCTCCCACTCCTGTGTCGCCACCTTCCATGGTAACCACTAGTTCGTTCTCTGTATCTGTGAGTCTTCTTCTTTTTGTTATATTCACTAGTTTGTTGTAGTTTTATTTTTTTTCCAAGAAAGCAAAGTGAGGATTTATTACGTGAAAGTATGCTCATGGTGGGAGAGCAGGCAGACTCAGGTGAGTAGCTGCCTCACTTGTATTTTTTAGATTCCACATATAAGTTTGTGCCTCCCACTCCCCACCCTTCTTGTGCCCCTCCCTCACTTTCTCCACTGATAACCACTAGTGTTTGTTCTCTGTGTTTGTAAAGTCTGCTTCTTTTTTTTGTATTTTGTTTGTATTTTTTTGTATTTGTTGTATTTTTTTGGATTCCACATATTAGTGATGTCATACAGTATTTGTCTTTCTCTCTCTGGCTTATTCCACTAAGCATAATGTCCTCCAAGTCCATCCATGTTGCCGCAAATGGCAAAAATTTTGTTCATTTTTATGGCTGACTGTATGTGTGTATGTACATCACATTTTTACCCATTCATCTGTTGATGAATGTTGTTGACACTTAAGTTGCTTTTATATCTCAGCAATGGTAAATAATGCTGATATAAACATTGGGGTATGTGTATTGATATCTTTTTTAATTAGTGGGTTTTTTTCAGATATATATCCAGGAGAGGAATTTCTGGGTCATATGGTAGTTCTGAATATTCATTGGAAGGACTGATGCTGAAGCTGAAGCTGAAGCTCCAATAGTTTGGCCACTTGATTCGAAGAACTGATTCATTGGAAAAGCCCCTGATGCTGGGAAAGATTGAAGTTAGGAAGAAAAGGGGATGACAGAGGATGAGATGGTTGGATGGCATTACCAACTTGATGGATATGAGTTTGAGCAGGCTCTAGGAGTTGGTGATGAGCAGGGGAGCCTGGCATGCTTCAGTCCATGGAGTGGCAAAGAGTCAGACACGACTGAGCAACTGAACTGATGGCAGTTCTGTTTTTAATCTTTTGAGAAACTTCCATACCATTTTCCACAGCAATTGCACCAAGAGATCATTTGTTTTATCAAATGACTACATGCTCCCAATACAGTCCCTCGTGGGACTACAAGAGAGAACTCTTCGTTAGTGAGAACTGTTATCTAAGGAAATTAGTAGTGTACAGGGCAAGGCATTTTTCAACTGATTGCTTCAAAAGTCATGGAAAATAGTAGTTCTTGGACTTAAGAAAGCCGTGTTAACTTCCTCGTGCTGGTTCTCAGAATCCAGATTTGAAAATGGCATCTGCTCAGAAGAAATAAATCAAGGTGAATGGAGAGAAGAGAAAATAGTCAAAGGCTAAACAAGAGATTTGGTGTGTAAAATAAGAGTCTCAACAGCAGCATTTATGGGCAAAAGCTGGAAAAAGAGCAGTCCTTCAGAATTTGTTTACAATTAAAGGAACAAACGACCATAACAAAGAAAAAGGCCTGTGAAAGGCCAGGCGGTTCCATGAACTGTTACATGCTCACTTAAGAGATAGTATTAGGTTGTAGGAGTGATTTGAGATCGCTTTCCTGCAGTCACCAGGGTGCTGATTTCAGAAGTTGTACAGGAGAGCCAGGGCATCATGGGAGAGGAAGTTCTCCTCGGCCATGCCTCTTTTGCTCTGGACAATCCCTCCTGGACCTGGTGAAGACATTCCGAAAGACTGCAAGCTATGGAGCGTCATCTGCAACACCCTCCTGGCTGAATCCTTTCTGAGAATAGCCAGGACACTGCTCTTGAGCAATACTTGTTTGTTTACTTGTGCTAAAGAGCAGGGATGACACAAGACTGATTGGACCAACAGCCAATAGTAGCCCAGACAACAAGGAGGGTGGAATATCTCTCCCAATCAGAAAGAGAAGAGGCGGGACAGGACAGGCAGGCCTGAAGAGCTGAACTTAAAGCTCAGTGTGACTTGCCCTCCATACTGAGTGTGGCAAAATAACCCTAACGTGTTCTGTACTGCAGGTTAACGTTTTATGCCTTATTTACAGATTCGCAGAAATAGCGGTAGCATGATTTACATCATTACTTCACTAATGCTGGGACATCATATTTTAGCAGATACCTTATATCCCCCACGACTATGGTCATTTCATGTTAAGAAAAAAGGAATAGGGTGAGAGCTATTTAAAACTGACCCTGCTTGGCTTTCTAGAATGATTATGTGATAGTTTAAAAGTACCATGAGGTTTCTGGAGAAAGCACTGAATAAATTCACATGACAGATTTGTTCTTCTGTATATTATGTAGATTATTTAAAAGATGAGTCATATTTGCTATTTGTTTAAAAATAAATCTTGCTATGCTTATATTAACTAACTTAAAATAATTCATGAGTGATATTAACTGACCACTCAGAATATCATTTACTACACTGAATGTCCTATTGAACTGCAATCTGAGGGCACAGGAAATTTTTCACCTTCAAGCACATTTGTTTTCAAAATTTATGTGAAGTTACAGTACTTTTTAGTTGATATTTGTTTGCATATAACAAATTAGTCAACTTTAAATATAATTTATTTCAATATGCTTTTCTTTCAGGCTCATGAGATAACTTTACACACCAACTGCTTTAAATGATTTTCTGAGATACCTATGGGGTTGTGTGCTTTTAAATTCAAGTAGGAATTTAAGATAAGACCATACCAATCACTGTTAATATGGACTTCAGTACTTGAAAAATCATAGAGTAATCCTGTCCCATCACTGTAATAGCCCTTGTGGTAATCCCTGGGGCAGTGAACCCAAGGCTTGAGGTAATTTGGTAAAGCTTTATGGATGCCTAAGGGACTAGAAAATATGAAACCCTTCTTACCCTCCCCCCAGTTCCATATGCCTAATATCGATTTTTTTTTCACTCTTCTTGCACTGGGAGCAGTTGTCCAGCAAGGGAACAAAAAGTCCATTTCTTACAAGGTAGCAATTAAGCCAAAAAAGTACTCACCAGTCAATACTCAATATCATAAAAACCCAGAAAAGAAAGCAATACACTGTCCACACTCTCATGGAGACTTCAAAACCGATCATTTTGTGTTTGGCAGAAGGTGGGTACTCTTACTGAATGCCCCCCATCCCAATCTTTGCAGAATAAATACAAAAATACTAAGAATGCACATGGAACTTAAAACCTTCCTTTGGAAACCAGATAGAATGTTTAAGTCCTCTTTATTTTTTAATGGGATTCTATATAGTCTTGTTTTTTTTAATTTATTTGCTAATTTTATTTGGCTATGCCAGTTCTTAGTTGTAGCGGGCAGGATCTTTGAGTCATGATCTTGCAACATTTGAACCCTTAGTTGCAGCATGTGTGATCTTGCTCCCCAGCCAGGAATAGAACCCAGGCCTCCTGTATTGGGAGCATGGAGTCTTAGCCACTGGACCACCAAGGAAGTCCGTAAGTCCTCTTTATTAACTGTACCTTATCAGAGATTTTTCAAGGTAAAGAATTCTGACAGAAAGGGGCGGGGGGAACCTGGGAAAGTGACGTATGCACAATACAGTGTTCTTTTGTGAACAGTGACACAGTACAGAGCCACAACTAACATCGTTGTTCTGGCAGTGGGGGGTAATTATACAACAGACTTGGCTTCTCTGTAAAGGAAGAAATTCCAGCTACACTGGAACCTTTTTGAGAGCTATGTTTTAGTAGGTTCTGTAAGTTTGTATAATAAATGTTCATTAGTACAATCCAATTACTTTATCCAACAGACATTATAAGAAAGGCTTTTTCCAAACTCAAAAAAGGGGAGAAGTCCAAGATATTAAAAAGGTATTTAAAAATATTAAAAAGCAAAAACAGTCAAAGAATCAAGTACTGTTCATTCACATACCTGTTTATTAGATGTTTGAACTGGGCAATAACTGACTTGCTCACTAAACGCTTCATAGAGATCTATATTCTACCAGGTCACTTTCATCTGCTCCTCAGAAAACACCTGGAGTTCTAAAATATAGTACAAATGAGTCTGAGACTGAGAAAAATGGTTAGGTATTCAAGGTAGTTGCGCTAGTTAGTCACTGAAAGACTGTGAGGACTGAATATGGGTAAGGCTCGCTATTTGAGAGAAGAGCGGAGATCAGTGAAAGGTAGTGAACTCTGCCAGGTGTGGACAGGCCGGCATCCTGCCAGCGCAGGTGATGCCCAGGGCCCCTTCCACTCCAGAAGTCACCTAAGGCCGCATGTCAAGCCCAGGGCACGGACTTTCTCCAAAGCCAGACTCGACTGACCATAACCTGAAATAACGCAGTTTTGGCTCTTTTCCCAGTTGGGACAATGTGTGCTGGAAGTTACCAGTTGACAGTTTCCTTAGAAAAGAAAACTGAGATGTTCTTGACGTGGAATGCCAACAGAAACAAAGACACAAAAACCCGCCGACGGAAAAGAACCAGCAGCTTCCAGCTGTGAGCTCTCAGGAGGCAGGGGCACAACAGGCCTTTATTTTCCTGTGGAAACATCGCTGGACACCGTAACTGGCACGGGGAACATCAGCGAGGCCGCGCCCCTGCAGCTCAGCCAGGGAAACAGCACCGCGCGCGTCCGACGGGCACATGCCCGCGGGGGACGGCCAAGTTCCGGGCTCGCGCTCCCCCGGCCCGTGGCCGGTCGCCGCGCGCCCATTCGCTCCCGCGAGCCCTGGCCTGGCCCGTTGCGCATGCGCGCGGCGCGCTCCTCACCACCCACGCGCTTCGAGCCCGCCCCGGCCGCTGCGCGCGGCCCGCTTCCGCCACGCCCGCCATGGCGGCCACTGCGGCCCGCCCCTGGCCCCGCCTCCCAGGACGCCGCGCAGGTCACCTGACGAGGCTGCGGGCTGAGGAGACACAAGAGAAGTCGCTGTCGCCACCGTCGGAGCTGTTGCCGTCTCCGCCGCCGCCTGGACCCTCCAACTCCTCGCCCCCACCCAGCCTGCAGCGCTATGCCGTCCGAGAAAACCTTCAAACAGCGCCGAACCTTCGGTGGGTGCCGCGGGCCGGACGCTGTCTGAGGGCCGGCGGGGGCTCAGGGGCCGAGGCAGCGGGGCCGAGCCGGGCTGACTGGCTCCGGAGAGGGCGGGTGGGCGGAGGGCTACGGGGTTGAGGGGCCGAGGCGAGCTGAGGTGGGGGCTGCGGGAAGGCCGGGGCCGGGCCGGCGAGGGAGTCGAGGCAGGGAGCCTGTCGGGCCAAGGGCCTCTGGGCCCGGGGGCCCGAGGGGCCGAGGGCGCGCTGGCTGGGAGCTGCTGAATCACCTTTCGGCCCGGGCGGCCGTCGGGCTGTGAGCTCGGGGCCGTCAGCGCCCAGCCCCGGGTTCTTCGGGCCCTCCGACGAGACGGGCGCGAGCGTGCTGTCCTTGTGGGGGAGTCTGGCCCGCGGCCGGGCCGGGTTCTCAGAGGTGGTGGCACCGCGGGTGCAAGTCTAGATCACACATGGTCCTTTCAGATGTCAGGACCTCCACGGAGAGGGGTCCTCACGCCCGCCCCTTCCCCTGCAGCGCTGCATGGCTGCGACGTCTTGGTCCTATTTGTGGTACAAGCGCGAGGGTGGGTGGCTCTTCTCACTGGCTAGCGACAGCATTCTTTGACACCGGCGGCAAATCCGTTCTCTCCCAGTTCGGGCTGGAGTCCCTGCTTAGCATGCTAGTGTTTGGTGGAAACCGAAAGTAACACCATCACAATACATAACTCCTGCACAAAACCGATGGGAAGGAGGTGATTGGTGCTCCTTTTAAAGCAAGACAGTGCTGCAATAACAGCGTGGCCTCCTTGTAGATCCTTGTGTAGGGCTTGTTTGTTTATCTCAGGTCAGGTGGAGTAGGGCGGGACCAGCGTTCCTTCCTGTCCTAATCTTCTTTAGGATCTTGATCAGTATCTTACGCTCTCTACTTTGGTCTAATTTCCCGGAGTCTGGAAAAGAGGCGAGCATTCATTTGAACCTGGATATGGTTTTGTAGATCTCATTATCGGTAATTATTTCCTGTGCCTGAGAAACTCCAAAAAAATTAAATTCATGTTGATCTGAAGAGCATATCTTTTTCAGCCTCTTGAAGCAGTTGGCTGGTTTGCAAGACTTAGAGGTGTCTTTTTTCTTTTCTTTTTTTAAAGAAATTTTGTATATAGTGACCTTTGTGAACTAAGATATTCGCGGATATTAGTTTTTGTGCAGCCCTGGGAGCAGTATTTGGAGCAGATTGGCCATTGTACCTGGCTACTCTCCTTACTGGCATTAAAAGTTAACTGGGGACGTTTGTATGGGAAAGATGCCCATTTTCTCAGGACCCAATACTATAGTTAACCTTCCTTTTGCTTAGAGTACTTTTAGGTTTTCTAGAAAAATCCCTGAATGTAAAGTAATTAGCCTCCAACTAATAAAAATAAATGGGAAATATATATATATCTTCTTCAGATCTCTGACACTGCCCTTGTGATTTCTCTTCTTGGATTAATGCTATGGTCCTCAATCTCATTCTCTCTAATCCATATAATTATGAAATTCTTTGGGATCAGACTCTTAATTATTTCTCACTGTCTTTACAAATAATTTAAAAGCACTTAGTGCTGCATACATAGAAACTTATTTCCTATCATAAAAAAAAAAGAAAGAAAGAAAAATCCCTGAAGAAGAGTAGGTAGTAAGAGTAGGAAAAGTGAGGAATAATAAGAAAAAGTAAAAATAAATGACAATAAAATAATGAATTAGAAGGAATTCACCTGGTGCCTGTGGCCCTGAGGGCAAACTAGCAGGAATGCCTTAGTTTTTCTCCATTTGTGTATGTTGCATATTTGTAGGCTTTCCTCTTTGTTCACCTTTATTTACTACCACTCCTTTTTTTTCTCCCTTGTTTCCTGACTCTTGATTCTTTTTTTTTTTTTTTGTACTTTTACTGAGAAATAACATTCATTATTGTGTAAATTTAAGATATTCAGTGTGATGACTTGGTTTACATATCTTGTGCAATGACAACTACGGTAGGTTCAGCTAACATCAATAAAAAAGGTAAATTTTCTCCTTGTTATAAGAATTAGTATTACCCTCTCCTCATTTTTTTAAAAAAGGGCTTAATAGTCATTTTGCAGGAGAATATATCATTTAATGGCTACTGCCTTTCCTTGCTATTGATCATGATAATCTGCACTGATAATCTTTTTGTAGCACAGTAAATGAGGCAAAATCTGTTCTTTGGAGATACCATTTTTGTGGAACCTAAGACCAGCTCCAGGTAGCTTGAGCAATAAGTACTCTTCCCAAGTGAGTGAGTTTGGGTTAATTAAAAATTGAGTATAGCTCTGATATGATATAGTCTACCAGGGTTGACAGAATCTTAGAGCTCACCCAAAACAACCACTTCCATTTGTAGCCAAGGAAACTGGGTGGGGCCCTGAGAGGTGGAGATCATGGTCCACCTAGTGGCAAAGTCTGGACTTGCCCTTCAACCCTTCTGGTAAGAATTCTTCCCATCCTCCAGGAGGTAGCCAGGACATGAAGTGGACTAGCACTGAGTCAAGAGGCAGTGGTGTGTTCTTAAAAATATTTTGAACAATTTTGTGAACTTTAAATTTATACTTGAGCAAATATTTTTGGATTCAGTATTCTCAAATGTCATAATTTCACTCCATTTTCTTCTAGGGTTTCCCTAGTTTAATAACAGATCTGTCTCCTAGACATAATCTGCTGAGATTCAATGTTAAACCTAAATCTTAATCTTCACCATCAATAATCAAATGGGTCTTCGTTGTCTCAGAAGTTGATGTGGTAGTCTAGAATAAATAACTCCAATTACTCTAACAGGTAGACTGAAGAGTGAGGTTTATACCAACACCTAGATAACACTCCCTGAGCTTAAGCTATGTCACTCCTTGATGGGTGGCGTTTTACATTGTTTATTTATAGGCATATTGAGGGAAATATTTATTATGCTTCTGTTTCATCTTTGTACAAGCCTGAGCCCTGGGGGAATACAGAAGTGACTGCAGCCAGGGGCAATCTGTTGAGAAAGGCAAATGATAAACAGATCATAACAGCACTAAGAAAGTAACTGAGTGAAAGACTTTTATGCCGTTGAACAGTGGTGTTGGTAATAATGCTTTTGTTAAATATACTGCTGGCCTCTGAAAACAGCCTTCTACTCAAAGAGGCTTCAGCATATACCATCTTTATATTTAGTTACTCCAGGCTTAACCACTGGATTTTCATTGCAGCTGGCTGGGACGCTAAAGATATTCCTCTAGGACTTTGGTACTACTCTTGTCATCTTAAGGAAGTCACTTGTCTTCCTCAGTTGTCCCACCTTTAATGAAAATGATCATTTTTGCCTTCCTTTCTGGACCATATTTTGGGGATGAATCAAAATAAAGCTTTTGACATAGTTTGAAGCCCCGCATTTAGAGCCTATTTTGCTTTTCTCTTCTCCACTTAACCATAGTAAACCTTGTCTCCTTATATAAAAAATCTCTCATCCTTAAGCCTGAGTGATTCCTTTTTAGTTCAGTTCAGTCGTGTCTGACTCTTTGCAAACCCATGAACTGTAGCACACCAGGCTTCCCTGTCCATCACCAACTCTCGAAGATTGTTCAAACTCATGTCCGAGTTGGTGATGCCATGTGATTCCTTTTACCTTAAATTTATTTGGATAAGCTTTTAAATGTGAAATATTTCAGGGTATGTTAAACTTATTATATATTGGCTGCAGTGATTTAAATAAATTATGGTTTCCCTTTGCTTGTGAAATCTGCTCTGACAAGATGGAGATTTTTGTTATGAAGAGGGCTGGTAGTGGAGTATAGGTGGTTCAGCATCTTTTCTGTGATAGGACAGATAAAAGGACAGAGCTGAGAGAAGTGATACAGTATCAGTGACACCCCATAAATAGGAGTTCAAAGGATGATGTAAAGAAAAACTGCCCCTTTGTGTCTCTTCTACTTGACAGTGCTGTCCTGAACACTGTGGCTCACTTTTTATTTTTTTTTTGTGACTCACTTCTGACACCAGACATAAGTATTTTTCCACACACATCAAGCAGTTCAGCTCATTGTCCTATGTTTAACTCAGTTCTGACACTATCTGGTGATAGCCTTAGATCCAACAAGTTAAGGGCTGCATCCTGCCTGACCCCTCCCCCCACCAAAGGCTAATTGCAAGTGCTCTGATTAGTTATATAAATCAGTTTTCCAAGACCACTTTGTGTTTGACTAAGTTACTAGAGTGGCTCACAGTACTTTTAATTACTAGATTATCAGATTATCATTAGGTTGGTACAAAAGTAATTGCAGGTTTGGACCCTGAATTTTAAATCATTATAGCTTGGCTTAAACACATCCTTACTAATCAAAATAGGAGGCATTACAATCAATGCATTTTTGCCAACGAGAAATAAGTTTATTCCTGTAGCATAAAAATCCATGCTTCAGGATTCTGGGAACTCTTGGAAAGCATTTTCTGCCTCCTGCTGGTTGTGGAAATGTTTTCCCTCCAAAAAGTTGTCAAGATGCTTGAAGGAGTGGTAGTTGGTTGGCGAGAGGTCAGGTGAATATGGCGGATGAGGCAAAACTTCATAGCCCAATTTGTTCAGCTTTTGAAGTGTGCGTTGTGCAACTTGCGGTCGGGTGTTGTCATAGAGAATTGGGCCCATTCTGTTGACCAATACCTGCAGCAGGCATTGCAGTTTCCAGTGCATCTCATCAATTTGCTGAGCATACTTTTCAGATGTAATGATTTCACTGGGATTCAGAACACTAGTGGATCAGACGGGCAGCAGGCCATCAAAGTGACTATGACCTTTTTGGGGTACAAGTTTGGTTTTGGGAAGTGCTTTGGAGCTTCTTCCCCCTGGAGAAGGAAATGGCAACCCACTCCAGTATCCTTGCCTGGAAAATCTCATGGACAGAGGAACCTGGTGGGCTGCAGTCCATGGGGTCGCAAAGAGTCGGGCACGACTGAGCGACTAACACTTACACTTGGAACTTCTTCTTGGTCCAACCACTGAGCTGGTAGTCAGTCACTGGTTGTCATATAAAATCCACTTTTTGTCACACGTCACAATGCAATCGAGAAATGCTTCTTTGTTTTTGCATAGAATAAGAGAAGACAACACTTCAGAATGATGATTTTTTTCTTTTATTTTCAGTCCGCTAACTCAGCATTCAAAAAACTAAGATCATAGCATCCAGTTCCATCACTTCATGGCAGATAGATGGGGGAAAAGTGGAAACAGTGACAGATTTTCTTTTCCTGGACTCCAAAATCATTGTTGGTGCTCACTGCAGCCATGAAATTAAAAGACACTTGCTCCTTGGAAGAAAAATCTGTGATCAACCTAGACAGCATATTAAAAAGCAGATATCACTTTGCTGGTAAAGGTCCATATAGTCAAAGCTATGGTTTTCCAGTAGTCATGTGTGGATGTGAGAGTTGGACCATAAAAAAAGGCTGAGCACGGAAGAATTGATGCTTTTGAACTGTGGTGCTGGAGAAGACTCTTGAGAGTCCCTTGGACAGCAAGGAGATCAAACCAGTCAATCCTAAAGAAAATCAATCCTGAATATTATTCACTGGAAGGACTGATACTGAAGCTTCAATACTTTGGCCATGATGCAAAGAGCTGACTCATTGGAAAAGACCCTGATGCTGGGAAGGATTATGAGGGCAGCAGGAGAAGGGAATGACAGGATGAGATGGTTGGATGGCATCACCGACTCAATGGACATGAGTTTGAGCAAACTCCTGCAGAAGGGAAGGACAGGAAAGCCTGGTATGCTAAAGTCCATGGGGTCAGAAAGAGTCAGACATGACTTAGCGACTAAACAACAACATGAGGCACCCACTTATTGAGCTTTTCACCTTTACACTTTGCTTCAAATGCTGAAGGACCGTAGAATGGTCGACGTTGAGTTCTTTGGCAACTTCTCTTGCAACTTCAATGATCCTCTCAATTGGTCATTGTCAACTTCTGATGCCTGGCCACTACAATCCTCATCTTCAAGGCTTTCGTCTCCTTTGCAGAACTTCTTTGAACCACCAAAGCGCTGTACATTTGTTAGCAGTTGGGCCAAATGTGGTGTTGATGCTGCAAGTTGTCTCTGATGTTTTATGACCCATTTTGAACTCATAAGTTGCTCAGATTTGCTTTTTGTACATCATTTCTGTAGTCTAAAATAGATATAAACAGCAGGTAATGTTAGCAAAAAAAAAAATAAAGTGAGAAACGCACATTAAAATGATGTATAGCATAACCACATTTATTTCAGAATGTATTCCAATATCAAATGGTGATGTTTAACAGTGCAAAACCGCAATTACTTTTGCACCAACCTAATATGACGGCGGGGAAGGAAATGGCAACCCACTCCAGTATTCTTGCCTGGAGAATCCCATGGACGGAGCAGCCTGGTGGGCTACAGTCCCCAGGGTCGTAAAGAGTCGGACACGACTGAGCGACTTAACTCACTAAATATGACGGCTATGAAAGCCTGCCAGGGAACAGCTGAGGGAAGAGATGCATGGAGTAAGGAAGAGTGCTGAACACAGGAGCTTCTGTCTCCTTGGGGCTTGGTAATTGCACTCTCCTGCCACCCAGAAGCTCTCCAAACCCTTATTAATAAGTTCATTTGTATCACATTTTAGATTGTACATGTAAGTGATATCATATGATATTTGTTTTTCTCTGACTTACTCAATATGATAATCTCTAGGTCCATCCATGTTGTTGCAAATGACATTATTTCATATTGAATAACAGGGAGCATTTATTAACCATCTATGTGCAGATATTTGCAAGGGGTGTACCAATGATCTCATCGAACCTTTTTTTAATTTTTCATTGACTTACTATAGGATATTGAATATAGTTCCCTTATTATAAAATAACGCTGGGCTGGAAGAAGCACAAGCTGGAATCAAGATTGCCACACCTCATGCGGGGAGTTGACTCATTGGAAAAGACCCTGATGCTGGGAGGGATTGGGGGCAGGAGGAGAAGGGGACGGCAGAGGATGAGATGGCTGGATGGCATCACTGACTCGATGGGCCTGAGTTTCTGAGTAAACTACGGGAGTTTGTGATGGATAGGGAGGCCTGGTGTGCTGCGATTCATGGGGTCGCAAAGAGTCAGACACGACTGAGCAACTGAACTGAACTGAATTATAAAATAGGACCTTATTTATGCATTCTGTATATAATAGTTTGCATCTGCTGATACCAAACTCCCAATCTAACCCTCCCCTTCTCCCTCTTCTTTGGCAACCACAAGTCCATTCTATATGTATTTGAGTCTATTTCTGTTTCATAGATAAGTTCATTTGTGTCATATTTTAGGTTCCACATATTAGTGATATCATATATTTGTCCTTTCTTACTTTGCTTAGTATGATAATCTCTAGGTCTATCCATGTAGCTGTAGATGGCATTATTTCATTCTTCTTTTTGGCTGAATAATACTCCATTGTATGTATGTACCACATCTTTATCCATTCCTCTGTTGATAGACACTGAGGTTGCTTTTATATCTGGTCTGTCATGAATAGTGTTGCTGTGAACATTGGGGTGCATATATCTTTTCAAATTAGTTTTCTTTAGATCCATATATGCCCAGGAGTGGGATTGCAGGGTCATATGGTAGTTCTGTTTTTTGTTTTTTGAGGCACTCATTATTGTTCTCCATAGTGGCTTCACCAGCTTACATTCCTACCAACAGTAGCAGGGTTCCCATTTCTCCACACCATCTCCAGCATTTATTTGTAGGCTTTTTAATGATGGCCATTCTGATCGGTGTATATGATAAACAACTCATTGTAGTTTTGATATATTGTAATCAGTTATTAGTTATGTTGAGCATCTTTTTATGTGCCTGTTGGATGTCTTTGTAGAAATGTCTACTTAGGTGTTCTGCTTATTTTTTAATTGGATTGTTTGTTTTGTTGTTGAGATGTGTTAACTGTTTATATGTTTTGGAAACTAAGCTCTTGTCAGCTGCATCATTTGCAAATATTCTTCTCCCCCTCTGTAGGTTATCTTTTTGTTCCTTTAAATGTTTCCTTTGCTCTGCAAAAGCTTGTAAGTTTGATTAGGTCCTGTTTGTTTATTTTTGCTTTTATTTCTATTGCCTTGAGACTAAGAAAACACTGTTAAGATTTATGTCAGGGAATGTTTTACCTATACTGTCTTCTAGAAGTTTTATGGTGTCCTCTCTTATATTTAGGTCTTTAAACCATTTTGAGTTTATTTTTGAGAATAGTAAGCGTGTGTTCTAACTTCACTGATACACATGTAGCTGTCCAAATTTTCTAGTACAACTTGCTGAAGAGACACTTTTCCATTGTATATTCTTGCCTTTTTTGTCAAACATTAATTGACTATAGGTGTGTGGATTTATTTCTGGGCGCTCTGTTCTGTTCCACTGATCCATATGTCTGTTTCTGTGCGACTAACACAGTTTTGATTACCATAGGTATGTAGTATTGTCTGAAGTCTGGAAGGTTATTCCTCTTGCTTTGTTCTTTTTCTTCAGGATTGCACTGGCAATTCTGGGTCTCCTATGGTTCTATATAGATTTTAGGATTATTTGGTCTAGTTCTGTGCAAGGGTAATTTGATAGGGATTACATTAAATCTGTAGATTGCTTTGTGTAGTTTGGCCACTTTAACAGTATTCTTCCACTCCAAGAGCATGGGATATATTTCTATTTCTTTGAATGAACATTAATTTTATTAATGTTTTATAGCTGTCAGTGTTTAAGTGATTCACCTCTTTGGTCAGGTTTATTCCCAAGTTTCATTTTGTTTTTGATGCAACTTTAAAAGATATGCATATATATATATGTTTTTTACATTACCTTTCTGATATTTCATTGTTAATAAGGAGAAATGCAACCAATCTCTGTATGTTAATCTTGCATATTAACCTTTGTGAGGTATGAGATGTTAGTGTTTGGTTTCTCTCAGTTCTAGGGAAGACGTTTTTACTGCTTTGCTCTGCCAAAGCTAAGGATAGGTGGAGTCAGATGGAAGTCTACCAGTGCAGAAAATAAGTTGGATTTTTGGCCCTTAATAATGCCAGTGTTTCTTCCTTTCTTTGCAGAACAAAGAGTAGAAGATGTCCGACTTATCCGAGAGCAGCATCCTACCAAAATCCCGGTAGGTCATCTCTGTTTCAGTTGTTGTTAATGTACACAGAAGAGAGCACTGCTTCAGTAGTGTTTCTCCATGTGACTGCCTGATGGGCTTCTGCAGGAATCTACAACCATGCAACCAGTGTGTTTGTTTAGTGACCTGGAATGGAGGCGTCTTCATCTGCAATGTGATCTGATCACTGTTTCCTCCCAAGTCTGAGTCTGCTGCCTTAATGTTACACATTTCACAAGCCATGTAAATTTTACTTGGTAGAGAATTGATAAGGGGGCTAGATCTGTTTATCGAAGAAGAGTGGAGTCCACCCTCTTCTGAAGGAAGCAGAGACTACAACTGTGGGAGAATCAGTAGCTCTCAAGATGTAACTGTGAATGTACAGTCCAGGCTGCCCGACTTGGCCCCAGAGAAAGAAGACTTATGTTCGGTTTCTTTGCAGAAGGTAGGGGGAAAGATGCTGCTCCTGTAGAATAAGGGCCTACATGTGCTGTGCCCTGGGTCCTTTGGTGGTGGACCTTAAATAGGTTTCTGTTGTGACACTAGGTCTATAGAGAAATGGTCAAGGAGCTTTTGGCTTCAGACAGAGACTGAATTGTGGCCCTAGGTTCAGGGTTACTAAGTGATGTTGGGCTAATTACTAAAATTCTGAGAGGAGCTGCTGTATCTTCATCTGTAAAATGGGAAGAGAATCCTATTCTATGTGGCTGGGAAAATTTGCGTAATTCTGGGGACATGATTGTCACCTCTTAAAGATTGCACCCACTGCTAACTTCTGCAGAAGCTTCTATGGTTGACTTTCTGATTGATCATTTCATACCAAAGTGAGGGAAGAGAAGAAGGGAAGATCTGGGATTAGGGTTGTGAAGTAGACAGAAGAGACAGTAGGAAGGGTCTGCTCAGCAGGGTCAGGACTCTAGGATTCTGTACTTAAAGGTATGTTTGCTGTGTTTCTTAGACTGGTTGGAAATTTCAGTCTGTCTTCACGCTTAGGCCTACATACGACCTGGGCATGAGGTTTCTGGGTAATTTCGCTAATTTTAAGGTTTTTCTTCACTTTTGAGTACCTGCTGTGTCTGTCTGCTAGCAGGTACTTGTTGGTCATTGGAATCAAAATAAGCAGCCCAACAGTCCACCAGTATTCCATAACCTCCTTTTGAAATATGAATATTTGCATACATTTTCAGTCATCTTTTTGCTAGTAGTTTCAGGTTTTTTGCAGAAGTCATATTCATACTTGCAGATATCATGTCTTGAACTTCCCTGGTGGCTGACAGTAAAGCATCTGCCTACAATGTGGGAGACCTGGGTTCAGTCCCTGGGTTGGGAAGATCTCCTGGAGAAGGAAATGGCAACCCACTCCAGTATCCTTGCCTGGAAAATCCCATGGACGGAGGAGCCTGGTAGGCTATAGTCCATGGGGTTCCAAAGAGTCAGACATGACTGAGAGATTTCGCTTTCACTTTCAAGCTATTGATCTTGCCAGGGAAGGGGACGACAGCTTGGCTTGCCTTACAGAACCTCATGTAGGTCCCATACAATGGAACAGCATATATATAAGCATTTAAACTCTCAAGATTTCTCATTCCTGCCTTACAACTTCTTGTTGTTATAACAGCAGGCTAAAGAATTGCTCTGTATGGGGAAGGATATCCATGGTGCTCAGTAACTAGGTAATACTAAGGCTCAAGGGCAGTTACTAGTCTGCAGTCATAGCTTATATAATGTGGCTTACCACTAACACAATTTTTTTTCCTTTATAGGAAGGAAGTATGGCAAGAAGCTAATGAATTTAAGTCATAATGTGGAACTATTTTTGATCATTGCATAGTTCAAGATTCTTTTAAAACTCATTTTTTAAAAAAGCAAAGATATCTTATAAAATGATAGAATCTCTGAGAAGTCTGCAAAAAAAATAATAAATAAAATATTGTCTCCAGATCAGCTAATCGTGGTCTCTACTTGTCAGATATTTACTTAGCATTTGAGTCTATTACCATAGTTAAGATCTTAAAGTTTTATTAAAACTCTCGTCATGTCACATGTAGTGGAATTGGTGTAGATTGAGATTAAAGCTGGTACTCAGCATCTCTGTTCTTTTAAGGCTTGGGGTCTTTTTCTGACCAGGTAGTGTATTTTCATGGTCCCAAATGACAGCAGTCAGAGCAGACTCTGCCCCCAGGTGGCTGCCTCGCCCTTCTGAAGGCCGCCATGTTGTCTCGTGCCCCTGATTTCGTAAGGAACACGTGTGCTGTGGTAAACCGTTTTGGCATGTGCCAGTTACAACAAAGGAAGTAGTTTTACTGTTTTTCACTGTTAATGGCTATGTTAAAAACTACTTTTGTGGCTTCTTTTCTAGGTAATAATAGAACGATACAAAGGTGAGAAACAGCTTCCTGTCCTGGATAAAACAAAGTTCTTGGTTCCTGATCATGTCAACATGAGTGAGCTCATCAAGATAATAAGGTATTTAATCATCTTTTAAACTTCNCGATACAAAGGTGAGAAACAGCTTCCTGTCCTGGATAAAACAAAGTTCTTGGTTCCTGATCATGTCAACATGAGTGAGCTCATCAAGATAATAAGGTATTTAATCATCTTTTAAACTTCTTTGGGTAACTTCTCATTCTTTAACAGGCTTACAGATAAATCTGCCATCTAGTTCTGATAAAAATCTATGCAACTTAAAACTATAAGGTGTTTCATTTCTGAGTTCTTAGGTTTCTTAACCTGCTGAATCTCAAGTCCCTTCTGATTCTTTCATCCTGACATCTATGTAGATACCACAAGGGCTCAGTAGTTTGGTGCATGGGCTTAATTAGTTGCTACCACAAAGCATGTGGAATCTTCCCGGACCAAGGATTGAACCTGTGTCCCCTGCATTAACAGATTCTTATCCACTGCACCACCAGGAAAGTCCAGCATACTAGTTTAAAACTGGCCTAAGGAATGTAGTAAGAATGATCTATCAAGGATTATCGTTAATACTTATCATGCGTATAGTCATAGAAAACATTTTGTGCTTTGTAATCATCAGTTAAGTCATATTTCATTTTGCCAGAAGCAACATTAGCAAAATCTTTACTTTTATACTGATCCAATGTGGGTGATATTTTGTACATTCTCCCTGTGTATTGATGTATCTATTTCTTCACATGTTTTCTTTCAACAGAAGGCGCTTACAGCTCAATGCTAATCAAGCCTTCTTCCTGTTAGTGAATGGACATAGCATGGTGAGTGTGTCCACTCCGATTTGTGAAGTGTATGAAAGCGAGAAGGATGAAGATGGATTCCTGTATATGGTATACGCCTCTCAGGAGACTTTTGGAATGAAATTATCTGTGTAAGACTAAAAGAAAAATGCGTCTGTTACAGAATTTTTTAAACCCTTACCAAGGAATAAAAAAGGGATGTTACCAACTGAGGTTGATCAGTTCATCTAATCACCGATCATCAAAATAGTAGTTTCCTGCCTAGGAGTTTTAGGAAGTTTTTTTTTTGTACTTCAAGCAGAAAAACTGAGCTCCAAATGAGCACATTCAGCTTTGGGAAACTTTATTTAACCTAGGCTATCTTGTTTTTAAATTTAATGTTTAAAAATAAAATACTTTGCATTATAAGTTGCCAATAAAATAGACCTTCAAGTTAATGTTTTTTTTCCCCCAAAAGAAAACTTGCAGTTTTGAGCATTCAGAGAGACATTGTCTTCTCTCGGTTCACAGAAGCTGCCAGCTTTTTATAGAAGGGTTTGCCGTCAACTGGAGGAATCTCCTTGAGAGAATCTTTAAGTGTATGTTGTCAGGTATAGCCACCCACCCCCAATGCATTTGCCATAATAGTGGGCAAAAAGCAGGGTGAATAGGGGTGTATAGGAAATAAGGAAACCGTGCTGCTGTCCAGGGTCACCACTTGCTAATAAGTGTGTTTCAAGTTAGCACTCTCATTCCAGAGTTCTCATTTGGTTTGTTCTCTAGAAAGTAACACAGAACACCACTGCTCAACAGGAACCTTTAATAATTTATAATTTTGGTCAAGTTTTTCAGAAGGCCTAGAGAAAGAGAATGACATTTTTTGTTTTGAATATTTCTTAAGAGCTCAAAATGGTGCCTGCTTTGGTAAATAAACAAGCAGTTACATGGGTTTCATTCTTTGGGACAAAGGTAGAAAACTGCAGGATACTGAAACTAAAAGCATTAAAATTCAGATACACTTCTGCCTTTTGGCTTGTAGCTGTAGATGATCCATGTTTTATGTTGTGTATGACTAAAATGTTATTAAAACATTTTTAAGAGTATTTCAGTTATCACTGTTAGGTCAGGCAGTCATCAAAGTACTCCCACTCCGTGTGCATGTCAATTTTGAAAATAGCAAAAGGAAACGTTCTTCATAGATATTGTCAAACATTAAACATTTTTGAAGTCCAACTAGAATAAATAACGAGTGCTTCCTACTACCTGCATGGGGTTCACTATGTACCATTTTTTGTGAGAGTTACCACAGAATGATCACAGACCCACTTGAGACTGTACACGTAGCAGGTCACCATTCATCCTTGTGTATCTAGATGTGTGTGGAAAACCTGTATCTGTTAGTGGCAGTTATTTACTGTAATTGAGGAAGAAAAAGCAATATTACTGCATACGGGCACTCAGCCCCAATCTACTCTTCCTGCTGCATGCACCTGTCCACATGTAACTTTTAATATGTATATTTTTACATTATGTACATTCTTAATTAGCCTGTCTTGTTTAGATTGTATACATCATTATATCTGACATTCTTGTAACTACTGTGTGATCAATAAGATTCCTATAAGAAACTCTGCTTTTTAAAGACAAAAATACCGTGCTGAGAGGGCTGACTTAACTTACATCCCACATTAATGGGTGGTCACTCTATTTATGGGATCTTTAAAACATTTTTAATGAACTAAGGTGAATAAAGGCACAACTAAAAACTCATCAAAGTTCAAGTTAATGGCTTAGTATTTGAGACTTGCAGTCTGTACTATCCAAAGCCAAGTGGATAATACCCTTCCCAGTGAGGAGTGTTGAGGCTGGCCTCACTGTGGGTGTAGGGACACCCACCTCTGAAGGTCTCTGCCTTAGGAACAAGAGACCTTGCTCCACCTTGCTCACGTTGGTCAAAGTGTCCTGCCTTCAAAAAACTCAATTCTCTTAAAATTACAGATGTGCCAAAAGTGTGGGGGCAGGGCGGGGGATGGGTCGGGGGTAGGTGTTTTGTGGGAATAAGCACTTGAAAACCTGATCTAAATGAACTGAAGTACAACACACAAAGTATTGACTGTGTGTGGGGTGTGGTCTGGAAGGTATCACGTGGTGGTATGTGGTACCTGACGTGGCCCGGTTGGGAGCTGTATATACTAAACAGCAGGTGTGTACGTGATCTCCATCCTCAGAGGCCCCGAGCGTGACCAGAGGAATGCCTTCCCTATCTGAGGGGCTGCAACCTAGCAGGTCCCAGGAGTGGCCAGCTGTGTCTCCTGATGCTACTTACCTGACAGGAGCCCTGACCAGTCCTGGAACCATGCATATGCACGTGTTTTTCCCCAGGTATCCACAAGTCTGAGAAGACCAAGCCAAACTGGAGATTTCCTGCTAGGGAGAAAGTCCCTGAATTCTCCCTCTGTGGCCTGCACTGCTCAGGGTAGCACCACGGACCAGGGCAAACACATGCTTGTTAGCCTGCCACCATCCCGAGTCCAGAGAGGACATGGCCACAGATGCCAGGGCACACTCACCATGAGTTTGGAAACGTCCAAAGGACAGTTGATCTAGTAATGCTGACCTTGATTATGGAACTGGGAGTTGGAACACCTTAAAACCAATCCCAAATCAATTCACATTTCTATTCATAGAACATTTTTTAAAAACCCAGGAGACTAGACAGAAAGTGGATTTAAGACCAGGTATCCCTTTTTTAACACTGAGCGGCAGAAAGAAGAGACTCCCTAGCTTGGAAATCAAGAATCGCAACTGGAAAGGATATGTGCCTCGTATTCTATGAGACAAAGACCTAATAAAAAGAACCTTTTTTTTTTAATTTTTATTTTCAGTACATTAAATTTACTCATAAAAACATTCTAAAAATGTACAATTTTTCCTTTTTAACAAAGTATAATAAAACATAAAAACCCCAAAAACAGAATACTTGACATTTACAATTCAAAATCAAATTAGCAGAATATTAAATATTTACAAAACTATATCTTTTAAAAATATTTATAAAGTTACATGCAATTTTGTAGAATTGACATAAAAGAATGGCTCAAAAATGGGAGAATTTTCCTTCATTCCTAAAAAGAAATATGTCCAATAGAAGCTGTGAAGATTCTTGAGTACACGAGGTCTTCAGTTTCAGTACCAAAGCCTGTCTTTGTGCATCTAAGAACTTAACGCATGAGGGGCTCCTTACAGCACCGGGATGGACTGGCCGGCGCTCCCCTCCCTCCAATAACAGTGTAGTAACATTGACCTTTGGCCTCAACCAGCACAGTACGTAGTTTGCGAGTGTTGATTAAAGATACTCACTTTGATTCAGAACCTCGGGACTTTTCAGTAATTGAGCCTCTTCAGAACCCATGGATGTAAATGTCACCTGCCTCATTCTTTGGGAGTCATCTGCACTTTGGAAAGGACGGCCACCTTGCTTAGGATCCACAGGCCCATCCACTGGATGGGTGGTTGATCTGAGCAGGGTCACGGTTTCCCTTACAACCTTTAAGACTCTTGGACACGTAACACCATCAGTTATCAGTGTGTGAAACTAGCAAGGCATCTAGTAAGCCATCACGGAAGCAGGAAGAGTGACAAGGAGCGAGGAGGGTGCAACCCAGTTCCCGCTCAGAAAAGTGCTCACTAGCAACACTGGAGTGAGTGGACAGATGCAAGCCTAGGTCAGCCTGTGCTCAGACGGGAACGCGTTACAGCCGTGTAACGTTAGGCAAAGTTACTACCCGCTCTGCACCTCCATAAAGCGTGCAGTATAAACTATGTGGGCCTTCTTGCGATAAAGGACCTAGAATTCTAAATTGGTAAATTAAAATACTGAACCTACTGACTACTATATTAACAAGCGGAACTCGTGTAATTTTTTGGAGATTATAAATGATGCTGGTTTTTTAAAACATCCAATCACATACCTGCTTTCAAGAAAATAGTTTTGTCTTTATTATTCTAAGTGCTAGCTCCCATTTTCTCAGTGCCCTTTAGCAATTAGAAGGTTTTAACATTTATACACTTTCCAATTTTCAATATCATAAAATAAAAATTAGAAAATAAGGTAGAAAATCGAGTGTTCTGTTTTAAAAAACAAAACAAAAAAAAAGATTAGTGTTTTATCCCAACGTTGTATCTACTTCAATCTGTACATTCCACTTTCCCCATTCTTGGGGATAGAAACTTTAAAATATGACAGACTACACAGAGCAAAGTGGCTGGGGCCACACCTACCTGGGGCCACAGCGTTTGGAAACTGAGCCCACAACTTCAGTGACTAGTTGAAAGGGTCAGTCTGATCTGTTTCTAGCTGATGAGGAAATGCCAAATGCTCTTTAGGCTCACTGACTGTGGTTGCTTCTGGAGAGAAGTTTGATCAGAGAGAATACTGCTCGCAGATATTCCTAAGTTCAAGTATGGGACTCGCTCGCTCGAGAAGAGGTCTCAGGGTCGGCAGCTGAGTGCTCTGTGCCTGTGTGTCCCGTGTCTACATTTTACCGTTAGCAACTCTGAGTGGCCACACACGCATTTTCAAAGACAGCTAGAAGTTTCTCTGAGACTTCTGATGACTGGAACACAGCCCCACAATGTCTGAACCTATTTCTCTCAATTTGAATGTCATACTTCAAATTGAAGTTTGTTCTGATTTTTTGTTGTATTTAACGCTAACCTCTAATATTTATCAAAACAGTTATAAGGGTAACAACAGACACTTTAATTCCCCAATACTGACGACTAAAACAAAAAAAAACCCTAAATATGATTTTTATCTTTTGTTATGAGACGGTTTTCAACAGTTTCACTGTGTTGAAATAGGATTTATTTAAAATAGTTCTTTGTTTAAAAAAAAACCAAAAAATTTTAAAAGTTTGGCTTTCAGCACATATCCAGGCCACTGTAACGGCCTTCAGAAATATTAAAATCGTAAACATCAATGAACACTCCAAGTCTTCCTTAAACATAATATGACAAGTTCCAGTCTAGTACTCTTTAAGGCAAAGTTGTGTCAGTTCTCACAATTTTGACATTTTGTAGTGTTTATAATTTAAGAGATCAATGTAACATTCCCCCAAAAAGCTGTTGTAAGCATCATCATTACTTCAAAACTGTAGGTAATACTGTGTGCCAAGAAGAGAGAGAATACAGAGGTCTGTCAATTCTGCATTGCATAGAAATAAAACTCTACTAAAATAAAACTCTAAAAAACTCTAAAAGCCTTTCATTAAAAAAAGTAACAACTTTCTGCTTTAGTTTCCAAGAAGTCAGGAAACTGATCTCAAAAATTTGAAGCCTTACAACACAATGCCTCAAATTCTAGGGTACTCTTTTGATTTACACCAATTTTGCATGAGGCTGATTGTCCCATTTTAAGAATGGTCTGAGTATTACTATTTTCTTCTCTTTTAAATATTCAACTGGAAAATCCCTGGGCAAGGCCTTACCAATTGGTATTTTAACAATGAAGGCTGTAGCATTTAAAACAGTATTATTGAAGCACAAAATTCCCTTTAGCCATGAAGCTTTAAGTCCCTAACTTTCACAACAAAAGCTCTCATTGCAGTGGGGTAAAATTGAGAGCTGCGTGGTGGACTTTATTTCCCACCTTGACAAAACTAGACTTCTGCAGATCTTGTAGCTCTGTCCTGTCGGTGTAGTCTCTTTCAGAGTCTTAACCACTTTCTATCGTAGTTTTCCAGTAATTTTTTAATGGAATTAACTATTGATACAGAGCCTAATACAAAAGAAGTTGACAGGAGAAAATTTCAGTCGTTTGCTCAGAAATTGTAGGACTGTATTATTGTTGAAAGGTCTGTCTCAAGTGTGAATCCGTTAGCAGTGAGCCTTGGGGTCCTTGGGAAGTCCATGGGAGATAAAATAACTTGCAAACTTGGCTAAGGATACGCAGCCTCCCGTCAATGCCGCTCACGAGGCCATGCTGCTATCGCGTCTGCCAGGGTTCCTTCACGGGGAAGACGACAGGACTCAAAGCTCTGAAGGGCTGGGAAGGAAGGTGTCCTCAAAGCTTTGACAGCTAGGGATTCTCTGGGACTTGGACCCTTTTAGAAATTAAGTTGTTGCAAGTAACTATTTCTATTTAATAATGTAGTTTAAATGTATTTGCAGGAAGAAATAAAAATAAAAACCTGAAACTGCTACAAGTGCTTTTAAGGAGGGAAGGAATACTAAAATCTCTGTTGTGTACTAAGTCATGTAGCCTGCTGGTGCCGACTCAATAAAGACGGATTCTCTGAGTGTCTTGCACTGACTGGTCTCAGGGAGTCTGTCTCCCAGAACTGCAGAGATTGACATCAGTTTACATTCTTCTGTAGTGCAATCCTTAAAAAGCCCAGAGATTAGTGCCTAACCACTGTAAGAACAAAACAGAACAAACAGAACAAAACAAAGGCGACATTTTCCCTCACCAGGGGTGTCAAGAGTCCGACTGGTAGAACTCCACTTGGAGAACTCCGACCTTCAGTTCTCGATTCCAACCTCACGTAGCTGCCCTGGAATTACGTGTGAGCCTAGAAGGACCAATTATGGCAATGCTCTTCAGGAGACGGCAGGTCTCTGCATTGCGACCAAGGGTGGAGGTGGCCAGTTTTCACCCATAGTGGAGATACCCACTAGGCCAGTCCTGACATCAAGCTCCCGTCTAGGATTTTGGCAATAAAACTGAGTTTGATGCGTTCCTACGCTAGGTTTTCTATCCAGTCTAGTAA